CACGCCCGGCTAATTTTTTTATTTATTGTAGAGATGGGGGGGGTCTCACCAAGTTGTCCAGGAGAGTCTTGAACCTGAGGGTTCAGGCAGTCTACTCACCTCAGCCTCCCAAAGGCGCGGGATTACAGGCTGAGCCACCGAGCCCAGCTAAAACTGTTTCTTTGTTACAAATTCTACTCTGCTTCTACCTCGAGAACCAGGTATCCACACCAGGAACGAGGCTGCCTTGATGGCTGCCTCAGGGAGTGGAGCTAGGGTAACAAAGTACCATAGGTCTCCTACCTGGTTTCAGCAGCCTTTTTCCCAGTTAAGCATTTACTTGTTTGCTTTAAATCTTTGGCTATCTTGTAGGTTTTGATAAGGTTGTTTTTGCTAGGAGTGTGTGTGTGTGTCTGTGTCTGCGTGTGTGTATGTGTGTACGCATGCACGCTTGTGTGTTTCTGGAGGAGGGATGGGTTTAGAGCTTCCTTCTGTGCCATTTTTGATGGTGAACTAAGTTGATTGTTATACAGCCCTATAAAATAGGTTGTAATGATGAACTTGGATAATGTACCTTGTCCACAACCCCTTAAGTAATAAATGGTGGAGGGAGTCGGGATTAAAATCCATCCTCTTTCCACTCTGTTCTCTGTGCTATCCCTTCTGTGCTCATTATATTCACAATCCTGGGAGCCAATCCTTTCCATTACTTTACTCCCTACTTGCTGAATAGCAGCTCTGTATCTCCAGCCCCTCCTCTCTGAAATGGTAAACTGAGGCAAGGTAGGCCGGTGCCACGAGAATAACACAAAGATTTGCAAAAGTGGCCAGACGCAGTGGCTCAAGCACTTTGGGAGGTGGAGGTGAGGGGATTGCCTGAGCCCACAGGTTCAAGAACGGCCTGGGCAACTTGGTGAGACCTCATCTCTACAATAGATCAAAACATTAGCCAGGCCTGGTAGCGCATGCCTGTAGTTCCAGCTACTTCGAAGGCTGAGGTAGAAGGATCGCCTGAGACCAGTGGGTCAGTGCTGGGGTGGCTGTGAGCATGCCACTGCACTCCAGCCAGAGCGACAGAATGAGACTCAAAAAAATAAAAGGTTTGCAAAAGTTAGCAAAAGGGTTTATTATCTACTTTCCACAGACTACGCTCACAGGGTAGCATGGTCCAGAGGCTTGGGTACAGTGTGTATTTAAGGCAAGAGCTTTTATGGGGAAATAGGGCATAGGTAAGAGTGTTCCCATCAGCTGTCTTCTTAGGCGTTGACAACATTATTCAGGTGTCTTGAGGTTGTTAGGGCAACCTGTACCTTGTAACTTCAGGCAGGGGACTAGTGGGCAGTCATGGAAAGTTGATCACAATAGATTGGCCAGACTGACTTCATATACCTGAAAAACAAATTCTCGGAAAGAAATGGCCAAGGGGTTACAAGCAATTACCAATTTTAATCAAACAACAGGTTTTGTGAGCTAATGATCAAGGAAGGGCTGAAACAAGCTGCTGCTTTAAGCATGACTAAGCTGGGCAGACTACTGTGATTGCTCTCTGGTCTTTTAACTAAAGTTTCTTCGTGTAAAAGTTAAGCTGTTAGCCCTTTCGTCTTACAAACACCGTCATGAATTTCAAACACTAAATTTTTTTTTTTTTCGAGTTGGAGTCTCATTCCATCGCCCAGACTGGAGGGCAGTGGCCGCTCCC